AGGGTTGACGGTTGTTGTTGTTTTGCTGCTTGCCAGACAACAATTTTAACGTTTTCTTTTTCTGGTATACTTAACAGGATCCAGCACAGACTGTGGGTAGCTCCAATTGCATGACACTAGTGGAGAACCGCAACGGCGACCTGTACATCTCCTGTACGATGCCTTCCATTGAGATTGGCACCATTGGCGGGGGCACCGTCCTCGGCCCACAAGGCGCCTGTCTACAGGTAAGCTACTGCTGACAGACATAATCGTTTCCCATATTCACACCTTCTTTCTTCCTTCCCCTCTAGCTTATTGGCGTGAAGGGCGTCTCGCAGACGACACCGGGCGCCAACTCCTCGCAGCTCGCCCAGGTGGTCTGCGGCACGGTGCTGGCGGCGGAGCTGTCGCTGCTGTCGGCGCTCGCCGCCGGCCACCTGGTGCGCTCCCATATGAAGCACAACCGTTCGAACATCAACATCAACCTGGAGGCCACTCCGGCGTCCTTACTCAACGCCAACAACCAGTAGTAGAGCTGAATGAGACACACCGGGGGTAGTAAGCGACAGACACAGACTAGCTAGCAANCGCAGACGACACCGGGCGCCAACTCCTCGCAGCTCGCCCAGGTGGTCTGCGGCACGGTGCTGGCGGCGGAGCTGTCGCTGCTGTCGGCGCTCGCCGCCGGCCACCTGGTGCGCTCCCATATGAAGCACAACCGTTCGAACATCAACATCAACCTGGAGGCCACTCCGGCGTCCTTACTCAACGCCAACAACCAGTAGTAGAGCTGAATGAGACACACCGGGGGTAGTAAGCGACAGACACAGACTAGCTAGCAAAATAATAAACGATAGCAGAACGAACACGCCCCATACACAAACGCCCCACATGCAGTCAGCGGCCAACGGGCCACTTGGCGCGCCGCCTCTCCAGTCGACCTCACCAAATCTCTTCTTTTCATCCCATGTGAATTCTACTCACTCACAGCACTCTGATCATCATCATCATCATCACCCTAATCATCCCCCACTTCATCCTCATCACCCTCACCCCCTTCATGCATCACCACGCACCTTCCACTGACTTCATCTCTCTCTTATGTACAGTTTTTTCCTTGCGAGATCAGTCTTTTGCGTCCTTTGGGGAGGGGAAGCAGATCAGAGAGGGAGCTACCTACTTGGCACCTCACAATTCTTGTATTTATCTTTTGCCAACTCGGCTTTCCCTCTTTTTCTTCTCACAAAACCGCCTGTTCCGCCCCCCCCCCCATGCCCCCTGCTCTATTTTTGTTGGTAAACGACTGTTTTTTTCTGAGGTCACTTTTTCCCCGACCTTGCGCTTCTTCTCCTCGTGCCTTTCCCTCCTCATCCTCATCCTCCTCCTCCTCAGCAATAGAACAACGAACGCAGACACATGTCACCTCGGTAGCTATCCCTGAACTGGGGATTCCCAATGGTTTACTTTTTGATGGGCTTTTCGACTACTACAGCAATCATCCACCACCACACCACACAGCAATCTTCCACTTCCACTGAAATGTGATGCGCACCTCAAGCCAGACGACCCCAGCCAGCCAGACGAATCCATTGGAAGGGCTTCTCACTGGACTGGAACACTTTCTACAGAAGGACATTTTTTTCCTTTGCGAGCCACAATCCTACTTCTCCCCTTTAACTTTTGCTGCTCCACTGTTGCCCGGAACCGGAGTTTCTTTTCTTCCACACTGGCGACGCCGATTTGTTTGTACTGATTTTTGTACTGATGCCTTCCTTCTTCTATTTTTCTCGTTTTTATACCGTTATTTTATTTTTGATTTTCCGTTGTAACTTATTTTATTATCAATTTGAAAATGCAAACAAGACAGCAAACACTGTGCAGTGTGTCAGAAAGACCAGCAAGATCAGCATGCAAACTGTCAAGTTTGTAAAAAAATTTTACGAAATAAAACATATAAACTGTGTCACTGATTTTGTGTTACCAGCAAACAATGCACAAAGTTGAAGAGATTTTTATTATTTACAGTACCCTAGTAATTAAATGAGCTTCTTACAAGCGAAGTGAGCAAAATAAAAAATCTCGCTAAAAAATAAACGCGTAAACTAATTGTGACAAATGTGGTGACAGCTGTCAGAGCTGAGTAAAGAGACTGAAGTTTGAGCGCAGGTGTTGCTTCCTTCGATGGTAGTGAAAGATGTGACTCTGCCTTCGAATGGACTTTTTAATAGCAGGAACTGCTTCTGGTTTTGGCGTAGCTTCCTCCTCATTGGTCACCAGATGATCTTTCGGCTCATTTTCCGACCTTGCAACCACCTCAGTGTTTTCCTGCTGTTCATATGAACAGCCAAACAAATCCGTTTCCATTTGAACAATTTCCTCATTGACCTTCCAGTCTGGCATGCTAACAACCTCAACAGGTTGGCCAGGCAGGCGTGCTCTCCTAGCTGGATTGTACGACCGTAAGTAGAGGGCGT